ATCAAATTTAAGATGTATAGTTTTGTTTATAGTAATATAGTTGGAATATAAACATGTCAGGAATATGATTATGATGATTGTTTAACATTTAAATGATTGACATTTGTATCTGATTGTCAAACGAGTATTGAGAGATATTGCTCTGGAACAGCATTAATTAAAACAAAATCAGCTATTTTGAGTACATGTATAATGAATATATAAAATTTGAACATAGTCAGTCAAAGCATGATGTCAGCGATAAGGCTCTAGAAGCCCATTCATTAAAACAAAATGGCCACTAGTCAGCCACTCTGAATCCTATCTAAAAAATAAAATAACGTGCATCAGGAACTCGTTATGTCTAATGTACGTACTAAGTTTGAACAAAATCCATCCATAAATGCTTGATATTTGATGATTTTTTAGCACAAAAATGGCCACCATTCGGCCATTTTAAATAGGATAGTCAAACCAATATATCTGTAAAATTAGACACGAAGCATAACGAATATTTAAAATTTGAACATAATCAGTCACAGCAAGTCAGAGAGATATAGCAGTAGAACCACATTTATTAAAACAAAATGGCCGCCAGTCGGTCGTTTTGAATCTTATCTGAAAACAAAATGTCCAATGTATATACCAAGTTTTAACAAAATCCATCTGTAAACAGCCGAGAAATGCTTGGTTTTGATGATTTTTAGAACAAAAGTGGCCGCCATTCGGCCATCTTGAATCAGATCGTGATGAGCATATGTATAATATCATGTATGATGTATGTGTGAAGTTTGATTGTGATTGGTCCAGGCATTTCTAAGATACGCACGCAACACGGACGCACAGAGGTCAAAACATAAGTCCCCGTTTTCGGACTGTGTCCGAACCGTGACGGGGACTAAAAATTAAATATTGCTGTAAAATAAAACAAACGAAGAGTCATATCTGGAAAGAAAACCATTACAAGGATGAAAAGCTGTTTCTGAAAAGCTTGAAGCCAACTTTCAAACATATTGTTTAGATTCAATGTATGATGATAATAAGGGAACAAAACATCAGAATAAACTCCGCACATACAGATGTCTGAAAACAAAATTCACTTTTAAAAAATATTTAGAAACTGTGCAAAATCCCTTCCACAGGTCACCCGTGACCAAATCTAAGAAGTAGTGCTCATGTGTTAGGAATAGAGAAAAAATAGTCGAAATACTAAACAATGGTAGTAAAAAATCAGTTCCTCAAATTGTTAAGTACATACATGATTGTTTTAAAATCTGAGAGAACAACTTGAAAAAAGTACTACCAGCTGTCTCAAAATAAATAAAAACATTTACTTTAATTTATTATATTCTTTTAATAACTTTGTTTTATACTCTTTTAATCTCATTTCATTTTTTCATTGCTATAGCGTTATTGTATTTTATAATCAGAGTCCCATAGATGATACGATAATAATAAAGATTATTATTATTACGTAATCCAGTGTATATTTCAAAGTCGCAATTGCACACGTTTCAACACGTTTAGTGAGAAGTACATTCGGCCCCGGGATTCGGCCCCTGACGGTTAAATATCCTGGTATAAATATGCGTGTAGCTGGGAGAAAGCAGCAGTAATTTGTATTATTATCTGAACAACTGTGATATCCGCATTGTTTTATTGTTTTAGCTGTGGTAAGCTGTTACGGTATTCGCACACGCCACGCCGTGTCTTCTGACCGCTATGCGATGTTTGTTTGGCTCCAGTGTATTTTTATCCCAGGGTTAACAAATAACCTTGTCAGTGTTGGTCATATTGTAGTATAAACTCACGTAATTATTATCGGTATTTTCAAATCGACTTACCAGCTGAGATGTGAATGGACATCGTATCATTAAAATAGCGGCAATCACAATCATTATATAAGAACTTTCCAGTGACGTAACGCACTGTACTAACACTAAACTTTTACCAAAGATTTATAAATGATTGGATTTACACAGTAAATATAATAATAGTCTCTAAAACCTTTAAAAAATATTACATTTACATAAAACCTTAACTTTTATCGATTGAATATAAATCGAATACACCTGCCTCAATGATTGACCGATTTGAAGATATTGTCAATAAATATTAATCAAATTAATATTTTTGATTATATTTATAAATACACATTCGTCGAATGTCAATGAAGTTCTCGTGTATAAATGTAAAATATTTCATTTTGCTTCTTATACTTAACTGATCAGGTATGCTCTTCATTAAATTATTAATAGCTTCCGAAATCACAAAATAAATCAAATAACATTCAATGGTTTAAATATATAAAAAATGTGACAGATTAAACAAATGACATGACAAGAATGTGGTATGGAAAACAAATCCGCCGTGGCCGTGGGTGCCGTCGTTGATGGAGCAACGCGCTTTTTGATGAACAGTATTTATTCTTTTGCCAATATTACGTCATTTTTGCGACATATTATTTCTTATGTAAATCTGTAATATGCTAATATACTGTATTATGCATCAGCCGTTGAAGCATTATTATTATTATTATTATTATTATTATTTTTACCGTACTCGACCGCGTTAGCGCCCAGGGGCCTCAACTCAGAAAATCACGATTTTGTAGGGGTGGGCGCTTACCCGAGCACCCCCCTCGAAAAAGAGTGCAAATGAAAATTTTGATTCATCAAGTGACAGATTACGTCTTTGGGGGAAAATCAAATTACTAAACTAGTTGCGTCGTCATTGATTTTCACAATGAAGAAACAGAAATGATCACAAAAAATACGCACATTTTATTACAATATTAATTACGTACCACCATAATTTACGGAATTAAAAACATTTGAGTCTGTTGGAACACAGTCGAAGTCAAAATTGTCATATTATTTCCACTGACGAAGTTGTTGGATCGTACGCAAACTCTCGATGAAAATCACTTTCCGCCATGATGCAATTGCAGATTTGACCTATAGTACAGCAGCGTCCTTTGACCTAATGGGTCAAGTTGGTTATTAACTAATCAGAATGCAGTGTTGTACTGACGCAATTCTTCGGAAATTCCCGAAGACTTTCTGGTAACGCAATGCGGAAGTAAATAAATAATCGATGTCGAAGTACGATCTGTTGGAATTGATTTCAGCGAATAAACGACATGGTTTTTCCAAAAAACTAGTAACTAGCCAGCCATTTTTTAGAGGTAAACTGAATATGGCATGAAATATTTATCGCATTTTACTTGTATTAACAGGTCATTGTCGAAGCGTAGTTTACGCACGGTTTACCGTGTTCTACGCATTCACAACATGTTCACAGCGGTAGATATCCACGCTGTATCATATAAAAACGATTACCAAGATTCATTACGCAAGACCAAGATTTAAAATAGTTACATTTTGAAGGGGTGGGCGCTTTGCCAAATGTGACCCCAAATATAAAAATTGCGCAAAAGTGGGGGGTGGGCGCTTGCCCGGGCATGGGCGCTAACGCGGTCGAGTAGGTATTATTATTTTTATTATTTCCAATGCGGTTTGCTAAACATCCTGCAATAGTAACTCATTGCACGTACTTGGCGAATATGAGGAGAGAACTCAGACATATCCAGTTATTAGTCACTCTGATTAAACATTACAGTGGTTAGGTTTATTTTTGGACTTCCCGACTCCCTACGGATACCATCAGATGTCGTCGGTTTACCGTCTGTATATTTTGCTATGTAGTTGCGTTTAATATGTAATGTATATTCCACTTTCTATATTCACAGTATTTAATAACATGTATCAGTGGGTTTCATCGTGTTCAGTGAATGCATGTTTTCAGAAGAGATTGCATGTCCTCGTCAGTTCACATTTCGCCGCATATACTGATGTTTAGTTGTAATCATACGTCACACGATGAAATAACACATTAGCCATGTTACATACGAATTTATAATCTCTTAACATGATTAAATTGCAAACAGTGAAATGAAATATTACGAAAGAGCCACAGTTGCACTGCACTGCTATTAAAACGTGAAGCCGAAGTATAATAGGCCATTTCCCGTTCACTGCGAGATCTCGCGTTATGCGCGAAATCGAACGTAAAACATGACAGACGAAGGTCATTGCGTCGTAGTGGCGTCAAGTACAAAGTATTTTGGGGGTATTTTCACGACTAATACTGTCCAATGTAGATTTTAGTAGTAGGCGTTCTTCCCGCGTCTTCCACGCATTACGCGAGATCTTCGGTGAACGGAATATCACCTACTGAGCCCGCGGAATAAAAATAAAGTTATCATACTCTTTTCGTTTCTAACAGAGAAAAGTTTACCTTTAACACAAGAACTATTCAAATATTCACACTTGGCATTTCACATCAGCAGATCGCAACGGGATAAGTATGGTGACCAAGTCACGTGGGTATGACGATAGCAATAACACGCTCTATTTCAAACCATGGAAATATTTGCTTAGAACAGAGGCCCACAAGATAGCTATGTCCGCCTCTTGTTTATTTTCTCAAAAAATAAACTCAGCAATTCGAAAGGTTCAAGTTCAGAGAGAACTTTGATATAAACTAAATTTCGAACCAAGTGAGCGAATCACCCGTTTAACTTCGACCGTGTTTCACGGCGCAGCTCGATTGGTTAGAATGGAATTATTAGCCGTCTCCTGTATGCTCTCTCCCCCTCTCTCATATCGATGTCGTTTTATTGACATAACCAGCGTAAATGTGTGCCCTGATTAAAAACATGCCCTTTGATAACTTACAGATAACCTTTTATTTTTTTCGCTTTAGGTCTTAAAAATGTACTGTCAATCAATTAATATCACTCAACCAAATATATCTAACACTACGTCATCTCGTCCTAGTCATCTACATATTGTCTAGGGAAACTTTGGCGTCTTTGGATATGGTTCTGATAAAATTTCACAGGAAAACTACAATCTGAGCATAGAAACCAGCTACGCGAACAGATATTTGACAATCGCACTCTGAGACATACTAATTAAAAGCAAATAGAAAAACGTCACTGACATGTCTGAACTTACCCCACTGTTATTCTTAGTTTCATCTGCCGGCGTTCCTCTTCTCCTTCGTCTTCTACCCTCAAAGTTACGGTTACTCATTTCTGTGTCCTTATTCTCAATTCCCATTTTGCGATGCAAGGGAAAACAATTACCAGTATACTCCGGGCATTATTATTCCTATGATGGCTGGTTATAACCTGATGTCAGTGTCATCCAGATCTCCGTGACGTATTGATGCAGATGTTTATTTCACTGTTGTGAGTTTCGTCCACTCACGCCACACGGGTTCAAAGGATTGGCTTACAAAATAACGGTGGTAATGACGACGAACGACATATCTAAATAAATAAACGAACATCCAGCGAAAGTGTACAGGAGATTTGACGAAACTTAGGAGACGAACACAAATTACATTAAAGGGGACTGAAGCTGAGCAAAAAAAAAAGACCCTGGCTTGGGCGATATTCTTCGGTATCTTCTGCTCTCTGGTTCTCTGTTGAGTATGTCTGGAATGAGGTTACTAATGGTATTCACATGCTGCTGATGTCAGTAACTCAAAATATCCGTCAGTAGCTGCCTGCCAACGGGTTCTGTTTGCAGGACATTTTACGCAGGGACACAGGGACTGAGGCGGGTGATGTTCAAGTGGAAGTGTCCGTCGTGTACTGCGATATGACAGAACATTTTACTCACCATCGTTTGTTGCACAACGGAAGCTCCCGAGAGACAACGCTGGATCACATTATCCCTCTCCCAGTGTACAGTACATCGACATCCCCACCCAATCCTTCTATTACAAATAATGGTTTAACCAAATACAGCTTCTATGTACTGAAGTACATGGACAGATGTAGACACGATTCCACGCGATTTCTACCTCGGCGCCTGTGGGGTTATTTTTGTTATCACTGTATTTCCGAATTTAATAATATTCTGCATCGCTATGATAATGTAGCTGAAGAAACTTGCCAAACGAATTGATCTTTTTATTTTAATTTGTATAACTCATCATTAAGCGACTATAAGGATGTGACTACATCCTGTGTTATACTGTCAATTTATTATAAATAAAATGATGACGATCTAAATTGTTGTTTTTCTTGTGAGAATAGTTGTATTGCGTGTCGTAACGACATACTTCCGAGGTTCCATACTTACGGCATGATTAAAGATAAATATCTAAAATGTTCTTTATGTTTTCGTTTTTAGTGCAAGTTTGAAAGTTGTAAAACTTGTTTGTAAAAGATGCTCTGACGTTTCACTTCGGTTGTCCGATAATCACACGTCGATAATATTGTCGAACTATCTTTCCAATAGCATAGGCTGTCTGATAGTTAACTTGAGGAGTGTGTTATAAATAATTCGGTAATTCTCAACTCTCAAAAATATAATAAGGACATGATGGAGTGCCCATTTTGGGGCTCCGTCACGGCCTGAAGTTATTGAAGAAAGTTGATAATTTGTTACAATTTCCACGAATGGGGCCAGTCATGCTGGAACCCAGAATAAGGAATTAGAATCCGCCTTTATTAGAATTAACGAATATTAGATAATTATCTCAAATTAGCTAATTGGAGGCACATTTTACAAGTGACGTCATAAAGTATATAATGCACCAGTTAACATTTAGTAGTTGACAATCGCGGGTAATATAAACAGATAGCTCACATAAACCAATTACTGAATACTGACATAAACCAATTACTGAATACTGATTGATTTGTCTAAACAAAATATATTACCCTATCGTATTACTTGGCGTGGTGTATGAAGAGAATAATTACAATCTCCAAATCTCCTCGTTGTCAAGCGGCTAAACCGGGATACTGACACTAGATATGTAATAATTACAGCAATTATTGAGTCTTGTATATTAAATGGACGGGGCAATGTACACATTATCCAGCAACAGTACACATTACTTCCGGGTCGTTCTTTCGGCAATCGCATAGAGCGATTAATGATATGAGCTTTCAAAACATAAAATTCCATTATACACTGGCTGCATGATTGAGTGAAGTTGGACGTCTGAAGCATTTAATATGCAAATCATGTACAATATGAATACGCGTCTCTGGCTGAAATGTATTCGTACATGTCATACCATACGCTGCACGTTTTTTTCAGGCGCCGACTTGTATCCTTGCATCGTTGTCTCCTATTCTGCGCAAGCATGCGCAGTGAGCATACACTGAATAGCTCGACTAAATTCCCATCGGTTAATGGTTGTGGTACAAGTATATATTTTGTATATATTTAGTTGATGGGTTTAATTAAATTCAAAGAAACACATTAGGATGAGTACATAATTGTACTTATGGGCCACCGTAGTTCATCTGATCATACGGTTAGATAGTTTCATATATACTGACGAGAAATTACAGTAGAAACACATGATGTTGCAACATTCGGAATCGTTGATGGCGTTTCACTACCCAGCGGGGAGCTATTTCTTACTGCGTCACGCTAACCACATTCACGACAAGTATGGTTTTTCATATTTGATAATACATTTTGCGTTGCGCTTTGTGCGACGTGTGTGTCAAATACAAAACATAAAAACACACCGAACACATATGCATATGGGCATAACACGATATCCGGTACACCGTTAACAGTTGGTGAGCCAGAATAAACGTTACATAATACAATTAGAACTAATGTAACGACACGAGGTCATGCAAGTGGTGTCATGCAGTATTTCAAAATGTTGTTTAATCAGCCGGTCAGCGAATCAAGCTATAGGCTTGAGAGAGCTTTTGTGAAAACCAGTCGTTTTTAAGATGATAGATTACAGTGAAGACTAAGCTGGGAAAACTTTTCAAGGAACAAAACCAGTGTTGTTAGTTGTTTATTCATTTTAGCATAGTTCAATGATTATACTGTTTCATATTTAATTTCTATAGCTGAAAACACATGTAATAAGCCGTGTGCTCACAAGGCACGATCTATGTTTCTACAAAGGCACATCAGAAATTACGCCGCCGCATGTATTTAATCAAAGTCGGTTGTTTCTTGGCGCAAGTGACGGGAGTGAATTATTCACTCGGAGTAAGTTATGGTACATCACTCAACGTAATTAATATAGTCATGTTCTACAGGAATGTACCGATAATTAGTTTAATTAATTAACATCAAACTTATCGTAAAGAATGTTGTGTTCATTCCTGGGAATAGCCGAAACGGACAGATAAATCGACACACTCGAAGTGCGCCAAACACGACAAAATACAGACGTGCGCAGGCATAGGTTCTTAACGGGAATATCATGACGTCACACAATTAACGGCGGGGATCAAGGTGTTTATTTTATACAGAGACGGTGACATCTGGATCAATAAGAGTTACTTGGATTGAGGTCAACATGACCTACACAGCGTGCTACTGGCAGAATTTGTACTCACAGAAATATGCATAAAATTTTAATCCGAGAACGCCTTGGTGGCAGATAGGTTCAAGATGTGTCTAATTGGTAACTTTTATGCGCGTGAATATTCCTGTCTTTTGTCGATCTATTACAACCATTATCAATTATCGAGTACAATTCTCACCTTACTGACCTTTGCTACTGGTATACTTATGTATACAAATACATATCCAATTTCGCAACAGGGTGCTTATATCACCACCTTTCGTGATATACTAGCTCGATACGTCGCGGTAGGTGAATTCAAATTGTTTCCCATGCTAGAACTTGTATATTTCAGTATAATATAGCTTCACACCACATTTAGAATTGGTATCAAGGCGCGAATGCGACTCTATTTTGAAAACGGCTGTTTTATCAATTGAATGAAATACTTGTATTCCAGAGTGTTTTATTTAATATGATATCATATCAGTAAATGAGCAAGTCTGAAATTTGTAAATTGAATTTTAGTGATTTTAATTGTGGACTGGTAAAGTTGACACATTCAGAGTAGTCAGCTGAATTTGTCATGATGAACTTTTCCAAAATTGCCAATAAAAATGTAGTTGAATTGTATAAATTTCAACACTGTGATGATGCTACTTACTATCTGATTTAAAAAAAATGTACAAATTACACTTTTTTGTTTTTGTGTGTGTATAAGTATTCGACTCTGCTATTCACGTTTGCACGGTATTGTATATGGGAAGTATAAAATATGTAGTATAAAATATGTATTTATTTTTAAAGTTGACAATTCAGCTCTATTTAGTCAAGGCTTTAAATTTGCCTGATCTAAATTATTTGCTGAATTCAAAATATGTTGCTACATCATGCTTTTTATCATTTAAAAAAGCGGAGGAGTCGTCACCTGTGCACGCGCGGGAATTGAGTCCCATGCGACGATATCAACGCAAAGGCTCATAGGTAGACGTTTGACTGTAAACAACGACACGCTGCGCATGCGCAGCTGACCCCCTGCTTTAATTAAAAGTTCTACATTTACTGGAGTCATTCATTAAATTTGTCATTATTTGAATTTCTTTGCAGTTTCATAAAATACTCATTCCAAGTTTAGACTTATTCAAAAAACAATAAAACACGCAAATCCGTGACTTAATTGTCTATTTACAATCTGATTTATACAATTAAATCATCCAAATTCTAAATTTTGGCAAATTAGAATTGCAGAAAAACAACCAAACAGTCGACAATACGCGTATAGTCTCGTGCAAATGGGAAAAAAAGGTTTACACATGGCATTAACAGCTTGAACACTGGTACACGTGGGTGATTAACTCGATTAGATGAAGAAATGAAACATGTTTATTGATATGTGATATTAATGAAAGATGAAATTCCATGTCATGTCATTATGTCATCAGTAAGTGTAGGACATAATTTTCTTTCCTTTGAAGTGTTTAGGTTCATTGTCTGTATGTTAGAAAACACATTCATATGTTGACACCCCTACAACAAATGATATAGACCTTGCAAAATTGACAAAATCTTAGTGATAATTGTAAAGTCGATATGAGAAAATGGAGAAGAAAAGTAGGTACATGTGAACACACTGGTACCAGAATCATAACAGGACCATTTTTTAGGGGAAAGTAAGGACAGCGCTGTGAGCGAACATTATTTATTGAAGAATTAAATACTATTACCCGTAGTTAATGGTATCTTATATAAACACCCGATTCCCGGTTAGTAGCGAATAACAATAATCGTCCCAATAATCACATTTTCAATTTGAAGTATGTGGATTCGACCTTACAAGTAAAGAACTGCTGCTTCGTTATTTGAAAAAAATAACTGGCGGCCTCGACAGCTGTAGCAAACCACACAGCTTGACTGGTTAAAGTATTGCGCTAAAATTAGAATTAATATCGCATTAGGTGTCGTGTTACACCGCAGCCCATTAGAATGGATTTCTTGATGGTTAGTCACTCTGTCTTAGCTCTTTGCTGTGTAGTTAATTTAACACCGATGTGTCACCCCGGGCACATGAGAATATAACAGTTTCCAAATAAAATAACATCGCCAAGTAATCGCGTCATGTTTTTCTTCGATCAGTAGAGAGGCGGGTGCATTGAAATGTGAGCATAGTTTGATGAGAACTATTTTTCAGCATTCTACAAGCTGGTGTTACTTTACTTAGGGCTATGCTTGCCAGAGAAATACATCGAACACACATGAACATTGCAAAAAAAAAGACCGTCCTGCATAACGCCATAGAGTTTGGCTTTATAATATCAATCATTTGATTTGCGCTACACATTTTAAAAGTTTATTCTTTTGTGTGTGTCAGGCGACAGTTTCCCTGCATGCAATGCCACTATTGTATATATTTTTGTGATATGTTGTTAGATACTCCACGTTTGGTTCACATGATTAGGTAAAAGTTAGATGGAACACTGAAATGATCCGTACCGTATTGTCTTTAATAATATATTCTATAAAAGAGTTACAAAATGGGATTCTCTTAAATAATCACCCAGCGATCTTAAAATATGGGAATGTTTGATGGTTGCTCCAGTCAGCTTTCAACTCAACAATACGTTATGATATTTTAGTTTCAAACCTAGTAATAAATACCATAAGACAGAAAATAGGCAGGATATAAAAATATTAAAACCTTGAAATTGCTGACTGCAGCTAGTTGTCCCAATATGAACTGGTATGATATTGTGTTTAGAAGCTTGATACGGAAAACGAAAAAAATGACGAAACAAAATGAGAAAATGGTTAATCACCGCACCAGAATGTGCAACTCAGTTGTTGTGTATTATTTGGTTGATGTTAAATATTTTAGAAATGATTATGCAATCACGAACACACTTTTGTTGACTTAAAAATGACGGCTAAATAGTTAGTGTCGAAATCCACCCGTCTGTAAAAAGGAAACCAACACCACTCTAGAATCACAAGGGATATTTGCATACCCTACTACAATGTATATACGATAACAAAGCACTGGTGTGTTAGAGAATGTGTACGCGTGTAATGATATCATTATCTATTGAAAAGATCAATACGCCAATACGCATGATGGCAATAATGCTCTATCCTGTCTGCAGCTGTCGGGTTAATGATGCAAGTAAAACTCAAAATATGTTGGTTGTTTGACATTTACATAAACCGACTTGTTCAACATCTTAATCGCATTACACATACGTAGGTACATTAGGTAGGCAAAATAGCAGGGCAACACTACTGCTAGTGCATCTACAACTTTCATTTTACTCCGAAGACGAATATCTGAGCGCAAGTTGAATATTGTCAACGTATTCATGTCAACATTTATGTTAGGAGATTCACCCTGTCAGCAGCCACCACTATTTGTGTGAAAAAAAACAACATTTATGCAAATTCAATCGTGATTGCGTTCTGAGCATTCACTTTTAATTGTCGAATATCCTCATGAATTGGATTCAGTCCACCGTTGGTAACATGACAATTTCGATCAGAATGTTGTAAACACTAAACATGTGAACGCACTTAATCCACAGCAGCCATTGAATCTAATGAATTGTTAGAACTGTTAATCTCCTGAACAAAATATAATATATTGGCAATACCAATACCCCTCGAGGTCCTTACAGTTTGCGCGAGTCTAATAATTGCACTACGCGGTAAATAATTTTCAAATAAGTCAATGCACTTATTAAAACATGGCACACAGGCAAAATGATTAACGCTGATGCATATTACATTATTATTTGATGAAAATACCGAACCACATGACGTATAGTTGATTTTTTTGTCTAAACGAAGTGCACGTATATGTCATAACTGGGCACTTCATTTCTGAAATTCGCTTGCTGTTCATGTTTGAACGGACAGAACACAGTATGCGCTATTAATAGTGTTTTAAATCGTTGGGGCCCGTTTTATGTAGACACCTACACTTTAACCTGGCGAAATGGCCGCCTGTCAGCCACCACTTATATCTTAAATCCGTCGTTACCTTTTCGAATCAGTCACGAATCGAACGGATGACGAAAACTTTAAGTATCCTGGGTAGACAACACTCTCTAGAGTAAGTGTTGATGTATAGTGTACGATTCGTTCAGATCACCTCTCGACACAAACATTGAACGTCTATGCGAACTAAAAAAACAAATGGCCATGCGGTGGCGTCCTTTTATATTCGATAACACCACGTGTGTTAGCTTCCAATTAATAATCATTTTCATCTTGCCATACGATTTTGAGAAGTTGTTCAATAGCAACACCATTTCCACGCATTTATGAATTTATGAAAATGTAAACGTATGTACAAATCAAGTTGATCGTTTCATTTAACCATGTCAACAACATCGTTCAATGATTTTATTTGATTGTGTTGATCAAGATGAGTTGGATTTAGGACATTATTTCTAATCAATGTCGATGGCAAAAAGGAGAACGCATTAATTTCAGATATGTTTTTATTACTGACAAATATTAACATATAAAACAATATATTAAAGGCGACTGCTAAATTTCCCCTTCTTGTATGTATCTATTCCCTTGCGAAACAAGAAGAGAAGCATCTGTACCGGATCATCTGGCACACAATGGGTATTGATGGTAAACTCTGGTTGTCTTTGTAACGCGATAACTGCAACAACTATGCATATTAAGGCTGTAATACCCCATGGCGAAAATATCTTGTCCTTTTCAATGTATTCAAAAAAGTGGACATACATAAAAAAACCATTATCATAAGAATATTCTTCATATCTGTGATTCTTTGCAGACAGAAAATCCGAGATCGGCATGCTGAACACATCTGAAACTTCATGCGCGTTCGGGGCTGGTGTGAAATCGTCGTCAATGAACCCAATGAACGGAGCCACCATTATTCCATTCCTTGTACAAAATGGAACACATTGACAGACAATTTCAACCGTCTCTCTAGGCAGACCAATCTCTTCTTCTGCCTCTCTTAAAGCAGTCACCAACAGATCCGAATCACCCTCATCCATTTTGCCTCCAGGAAAGGCTACGTCGCCTCCATGCGAACGCAAATGTTTCCCTCGAACAGTCAGAAGAACATGAAGGTCACCGTTTCGAAAGAATATCGGCACCAATACAGCTGCCTTTGGAAGGTTAACATCACCATATGTTTCGATTACATTTGGAATATATAATGCTTTAAGTCGTTCAATAACACCACTCTTGTTATGCGTCATCTTCGTTTAAGTAAATTTGTTGAGACAATTCTGCAAAACACCACATTAAAACACATACAAATTAATTTATTTATTTTACCGAGAATTAGAAAATATGTTCAACGTGCAACTTAGGAAATATCCGATTTGTCGGACGAATGACCGAAATATTTTATTGGCTTGTACCCTACAAATATTTTACTTCACGTACATTTGCTCTACACATTGATATTTCGCCACGTTTTAACTGAAATGACAACACAAACTCGTGCGACGTTTGTGTGTATTCGGGTGCAATGTATATTTTGTTGAACATAAAATCTGGTTTCATTGAAATTGTGTGCGTGTTAGACTACTGTACATTCGGAATATGAATCAACTATGTGTCATTTTAATATAACCGTTACAATAACTAAAAAATGCCTCAGGGCTGAACGCATCAAACCTGACGGTAGCATTTATATGAAAGTTTGAAGAAGAAAATTTCGAATTCGAATTCCGTGTCAACACACAATGTATATTTCAGCCTGAGGCGTTGTATACGTCGCAAGTGACCCACATCGAACATGACGCAGCGCTTTAACCTTATTACACACGTTTATTGCAAATACTAATATTTTTGGAATTAATATAAAATTAATTAAGAAGGGCGATGGTCGTCGCGCCGCGTCCTGTTCGATATGAGACTAATAACAACGTATACAACGAATGTAAAATTCATTGTTTACATGAAATTCCACGCGCTGCGTGGCGACCTCCGCCCTTTAATGTAGACATATTGTAGGAATAAAATGATGAAGCATAGATTCTATAGAAAAGGGATTAAATCCTATAAGATGAGTGATGTAAATTTCAAGATCACGGACACCAATAACCAGCGAATTAGCATGGTGGATTATAAGTAACGTGGCATCAAAGGAAGTGCCTCAGTTTCTTATCCCTTTTTTATAGAGTATATGGGTGAAGTAACCCCAGAGTAGAACAATCTACGTTTCTACGTTAATGACTTCATGCGTATCTCAAGAGCAATGGACGGGGCAAGGTACACATTATCCAGCAACATTACACATTACTTCCGGGTCGTCCTTTCGGCAATCGCATACAACGATTAATAATATTAAATGAGCTTTCAAAACATAAAATTCCATTACGATAAACCTACCCGAGTGCATCAAGCTTCCGATTAAAACAAGCTGAAAGTTGATAAATTCAAGATAGTATCAAATAAATTCAATAGAGCTCGAGTTGACCGGACAGACATATTATTTACAAGTCCCCAGGTTACTAATGTGGTGAACTCAATGGCATTGTATCGTCGTAGATGGCGCGCTAAACAAAGAGGTCAACCGTACATACACACATACCTGTCGAGAACACCATTTCTTCTTAATCACAGTTCATTATTTGACTTATTTTTGATACACACAATATATGTGCAGTGAGTATTATTGTCTATTCCATGTTTTGAAGAAAAATAACACATACACGGATTAAGGGACCCACTGGTTTCATTTTCAATTGTGACATTCACTGATAAATTACTGGTCATTTAACTATCAATAGCAATTGTGTACAATAAACCGGGAAGAAGAAATATGGAAGATTAAAACAGGGTGCGCCTCTCAGGAGATGCGGAAAATGTTTAGAAAAACCAGAACAGTTCATTCATACCTATCGACCGATGTTTAAATTCTGTCACGAGGTGTTATAAAGGAAACTGTGTATTAATATAAAAGGACACAATTGTTATCATGCGTTATAAATCACAATCACACTTGGACAATACTTGACGAGCATCTATGTGATGAGTGAACAGGTGTCGGGAACCAATTACCGATTGACACAATTAGCCGTGTGACGGCATGGTATTTAAAGACTGAGACAGCGTGGTGCTGGGTGGTTGCTACTGGAGATTTTGACCAACGATCTACGCTTTGTACGACTCTAGAAGCGGCGAGCGCAGTACAACCACATACTACCATAGTCGAACCCGACATCTAACATTAGTTTGAAGGTATGCCGTTTCTTCCCTGGTCGTAGGGTCGTTACCGACTTTGCTGTGGTGTCTACAGTGCGAAATTGCGTAACCCCACCTCTTACCAATAATATAGTTGCGTTGGTACGTGGCCGCGTTTAGTGCTGACCCTCTGCAGGGGCGGGCGATACTGACGGAGAGAATGTAGCAAGCATATACTTTGCGTACCTGAAAAAACTATGGTTTAAAGTACAGAACAGAAACAAAAACACAGAAATCCGTAGAATGATTCTTTATAAAACATAATTGTTTGCTACTTATCATGAGGTAGAGTTCACATCCCTCAAGAAGCAAGTGTTCCCACTAGTTTTGATATTACTGTTGTAATGGCAATGGGACGGTAGTTGTTCTTGGTGATTACATCTCCATTTTTATTTTTCAATAGAGGAAGAAGGATAACGTTTGACATCTCAGGAAGAATATGTCCGTGGACAAACATGGATGAGATACACATAGACAAATGTCCATCAACACACGAGTTAGCATACTTATAATTCTCAGCGCAAAGACCTTCGGAGCCACGCGACTTTTGAGTTGGTAGCTTACCTATAATATTCGCAATATCCGCACTAGACACATAATTACCGTTATTATTACAGTCATATATATAATTTTGAACTTTATATTGACCGTTCTTCATGGAAGTAAAAATGATCCGCCCACATATCCGCAATTTCTGGTTCACCCAAGGTACCCTCAACCGTGGAGGGCTATGTAACACGTTTTCTTGTATGAACATTCTTCCAGAATGCACTGCACGCTTTATTTATTAAGGGTTTTGCAATAGAGTCTGCTCTTGCCTGTGCATCATTCTTTCTGCAATTACGTAGTGCAAGCTTGAATTGATCTTGATGATTGCATCATATGGTGAATCAAACCGTGTCAGGGTTTGCCCGCATCTCGCCACGCAAGAAAACATTCACGAACCCTAACATTATTCCAGCCCGAAACTGGCCGTGGATTTAACTTTAAACGATAAATGTTATTTTTTTCAGTGCAGTCACAATATCTTTGTAGAACCGATTAATGACACTACAGTTAATATCTGAGCAGAAAATGGCTTCCTCTGGAATATCAATGGTTTACAAGTATAGCTCAGTGTGCTTTGTATAATTTATCAAATTGTGTGGTTTGGCATTCGACCAATCAGTGCGCATGTCACGTGGTTTAGCCTGGTTGGAGGATTGGCAGTTGTGTCACAATCTTGGACGATTTCGTTAATTTTACCGAGGTAGTTAATACATTCTTCTAAGTTGTCGTGTGAGTTTGTAGTTAGGTACACACATAGAAGAAACAACATGCTATTATCATTCCTGATTTCAGCCCCAATCAGACTCGGATCATTATACGTTTTAACCTTAACCGAGTTCAAAGAGACTTTCGCCACAGAATGGCTACACCTCCATATGGTATCCCAGTATCCCAATGGCGGGATGTGCGGCTCCTTTGTGCACAATCAGCTTCAACTTCATTAGAGAAACACGACGCACTTGTTAAGCCAGGCCGTCTGGTGGCGCCCTACTACTTTATATAAACAAATATTATGCTATAATCCTGTTACCGAATTGGACGTTTGTTTATTTGGAGTTATTTCCAATTCTACGCCAGGTCCTTATTTATTTGGCCGTTATTTGACAGACGTAAAATGCCATAATGTTAATTCGCGGAAATTTAAACACACTGATACTGATAATGAATTAAATATTTGCCAAAAAATACTAAATTTGCTATCCCATGGAAATAATTGAAATAAAAATATTTGGCAATATATTAAGTTTTGCGTCGCATGCACACAATTGAAATATCATATAAAATGGGCCTAATATACTAATGTTGAATTTATTTAATTGTAAGAACGAGTGTACATCCTGGAATGGCCACGATGTACCAGATGTACCACGGATCGTATAGTAATGTTCATGAATGTATAATGAAGAAAAAGAAATTACTTTTACTGTAACACGGCAATTTTTTTCCGATAGTTACTTCTCTAGGTTAATTCACGTCGCCATGTTTACAACAAAGCAGCAAAGCTGGTCTTATTACCAAACGCTTCAGCGTGGTATTAAGATTTTGTTTTCAGCCTTGGGTGGTACCAAGGTGGAAAATGGTTGCACATATTGGGGGTAATTCCTGGAATTGCAATAGAGAGGGTTCAGGCCGAAATACATATATATAGTGTTTCCGTGTTTCGTCTGACATTTCTGTGGTATTCTGCTGCTGTAAATAATGCAAGATTTGTTCCGAAATTCAGTGTGTTGTGTGCACTCCAGGGTTATTCGTTTTTTTGCTCAAAACACCCCTATTTTTTAATGACAGAGTCGAATAGTTTCACTCCCACTGGGAAATCTGCATTGTTACTTGAATGAGAGCTAACTAAACACATTTTCCAGACCGGCGAATGTGTATGCAACAGCCAATTTTAACAGCCTGTCACGTGATTTTAGTCTGAATGTCAACATCAAAAGAGGCTAATCCATTTACGCAGGTATAACTGGGAATATAATATGTGAGGGATTGTATCAACAGAGATGTGTATAATGAAAAGTAACACCTATCCTTCTTTTGCATCGCTGAGCATTTCTGTTTTAGTATACTGGTTTGAAAATGTTGAATTTGCATGATTTGCAATGCGTTTTTTTACTGAAAATCCCCTATTGATCGAATCCCGGGTTTGAAAGAGAACGGCACACCACGTGATTCGTTTGATACAATGGTGAAGGCACGCAAGCATGACTTACGTTGTCAGCAGTAGTCGCTG